CAAAGTATAGGTAAATTTAAGCATGTTCTTTTTCTCATATACCTTTACATTCATCTTAGAAAATCATTTATACCATCTGCATTTGAATTCTGCAAATTGCTTCTTTACTTATTTTTATTTCAATATTTTACTGTTAGGCTTGTTTTCAGGGATGTTAGCAAACCAAAAATAATCCAAAGTAACACCTGTTCTGACCTCTTAACCTTTTCAGAGAGTGTTTATCTGACTAATATTTCAAGGTTTTACTGAAGAAACAGCTGGGAGAGGCTCTGGTACTGTGTTGCACAGAATTTTTGTGTTCTGGTCTTGTGAGCCTCTGTAATATTACAACAGTGGGGAGAATGCCTGAGGCTGTTACAGCATCACAGGTGCTTTTCAGACACCTTCACATAAGAAATTTCTCATCTGTCTAATGCGGATGGGTAGCCATGCTTTAACTTCTCCCCTGCTGGTTGTCATCTTAATTCTCCTTGTGAAAACTTAAACTGTGATAAACATAATCTAAACTGAAATTCCAAAGAGAGACAAAGCTTTTAAACTGAAAACTTTTAGTTTACAATCATTGACTTCTTCCTGGAGTAAAACAATAGTATCCTGATTCTTCAGAACCTATGTGGATCTCATACATCTTCTAAGTTTTCACTTGCAAGTCCTAGACATAATAATTTCCTTCCTCTTCCCAATGACATTCAGTTTTGTTACTTGCATGACTGTCTCTGCCAATGCAGATTTTCTTCATAAAGAAGTCTGACTTTTTATACCTCTCTTACAACAAGAACTTTCTTCAACCCTTCTGTAACAAAGAGATAAAAGACAATGTCCCTGTTATGGAAATGTAATTTACTATGTAAAATACTCCATTCTCATGTAATAAACTTTGTTATTATGAAAAATTTTTTATCAGGAACATTTGCCCTCCAAGTGGAGCAGCTGAGCCATTCATTGCTTGGAAAAGGAAGTAATTTCAAGGACAGAGCAATACAGGGTATAAATCATAGAAACATGAGTTTACAAATCATTGTACGTAAATTTCCAGTTGTCATTATCTTACTGTACGAACATTTCTGGAGACTAATTTTATGACTGTCAGTTTTCATTACTGTAAATGACTGAAATCAGAAGCTGCTCTGAGTCAAGAGATCTGCTGTCAAATTTAAGAGATTAAATTATTAAAGATAACCACTATGTTGTTTTTAAATTTGAAACTTAGGATAAAAGTTGACATTTATGCAGTCTTCATCTCACTAAAATTTAGTTGCCTTCATCACACCTGTGCTTCTTCTTTAATTAGACTCCCTTTATGAACAGTAAAGAGAAAGAAAGAATTCTACCATTATTCCTCTTTCCCTAATTATCTAAATTAGTTCACCTGACACAAAAAAATCACCCTCAGACAGCTTTCAGACATGGCTAGATCCTATAAAATATTAGTACTCTTTCTTCCTTTTCAGCCTAAAAATGTAGTTTGCTTTGAAGAATAGTTTCCCTCCATGCTTTAAAATTGATGAACTAAAATATGGCTGAAGAGAGTTAAAGTGAAACACTAGAGAAAAGAACAGGAAAAGAAGGGAGGGTTATTCTGGAACATGGAGTTTCAGAGAAGAATATTAGTAGAAGGAATTTGAATACAGTAACTTTCCCTTTAGTGGTAAGGAGGGACTGAAAGAATGGAAGACTGAAAACCTAAGAGAGAGAAAGACAGAGATAATGAACTGAGAAGGACTGAGAAGGGCTGTGAAAAGGAGTGATCTACTCAAAGTTGTTTAAGGAGCGGAAGGAAAGATAGTCATTGAATGAAACAATAGCAGTTAATTTTTTGGTATACTCATTTTTCTTTTTCTTCTTCAATAGGACTCTCACTGTAGAACTTTATAAATGGTAAGCACACATACCACACGAATTTTAATTTATATTTTTAAGTACTTAATTAATTATAGTTATTCCTTGAACATTTTTTTTAGTCTGTAAAAAGCAGTACCCCACAACCAACATTTCTAAATGGTCTAAAAAAAAAGAATTAATTTGTTTAAAAATATATTTTAAATCACCACATTTCCTTATAGCTCACTGTTACTCCTATAGTGATTCCTTTACTGTCTGTAATCAACACAGTATTTCAAGGAAGACTCAGACAGTCTTAAGAAAATGTCATACAGATAGAATTTTGGTTTTCTGAGGTAACCTACAGTTTCCACAGAAGTATCTAGTAACTGTGCTAATACCAAAGACTTCTGTTTGATCCATCAGACTCACTCTCAGGCCAAAAATATGAGAGGTTTGACTTTATCTCTATTGTAGTAGTACAACATATATCCCTGTCTGACATTTTACTATTCAGTTTAAGAAACTGGTCTTGAAATTCTGAAAATACGAGCTCATACTATGGTCTTATGATTTTTTACGTAAGCATATTTATTGAAAAGATTATGATCAGACTTATCATATCCAGCTCATTTTCATGTACAGAAGTAGACCTTTCATTCCTTGATGCTTGATGACACATTTGCAGCAGTGTGGAGATTGTGTTCTACGAAATCGGCTCATCATAGTTTGGGCACCAGGTGGAAGGTTGATGAGTGTAGCAAATGCAAAACTCAAACATGAGGTCACAGAGACGATCATGAATTCACAAAGTAATACTTTTTTCAGTCCTTAGGCCGAAGGAAACTGTGGAAAAAAATTGTGGTTTCTTTCTTTTTTTTTTTCAAGCAGAAATAATATGTTGTTGTGAAAAGAGGACAACATAGAACTTTGTGGAGGTTACAAGAAAAGGTGCTATTGTATTGAAATTCTTCAGTTGCATTTGTGATTTGTAAAGACTGACACCAGCTTTAGGTGCCTCCTATTTCCATAATTTATTTTTCAAATTTGAAAGGAAAAAGGAGTCCTCCTTTGCAAAAGTGCAAGGAGTCCTCTCAGGACAATTGAGGGCCTGGTCAAAATGTGGTAGCATGAGTAAGATGATCTGAGACAGGAATAATGTATGTTTTATATCCTTTTGAGTCTATTAATCAATTTTTCAGTTAACTTCTAAGCATTCTAGTTAAAAAATAGTTCCATAATTTGCTCTTCTACTGAAACACCTTACTTGCTGTCTACATTTTTTTTCTTAACTACTAAAAATGCATTTTTTACTTGACTATTATGATTGTGTAGATAATTATTTTATCTTTATTGTTTACCAATTTTTCCTGACTTCACTTTGCAGCTAGTGGTCGTAGTCTGTCTCATTCTTAATTTCACTGTGTTTAACAATGATCCCTTGTGGATTCTGAATCCTCCTGTCCATCCCCTTGCAACTGATTCAGCAGGAAATAATACTTCATTGGAGAAGATGATCAGAGGAAAACACACAGATATAGTAATAACTGTTTTGTTTTTTGCACAGAAATTTTATGACAGAGAAATGATGCAGTGTGTTGTGCAGCATGGGTCATTTACGTCTGGACAGTGTGAAGAAAAAAAAGCCTTTATGATTGTGTAATTAGTGTTTATTTTCTTTTTTGTGTGTCAAGACTACTAATAAAAAAATCTTCATAACATTAAATGTAATTTCCCAATGCTTATAATAGGACAAAAAGAAAGACTTCAAAAGGATAAATGGCTGTAATATAACACTTTCCAATACAATGTAAGCAGAACTTTTTGATGATGTATATGAACACAAACAAGAGGAGGTTGAAGGAAATGTACTGAGAGGAAGAAGAAAAACTAGGGGCTCCAGCTAAATGTGGCATGAAGGAGATATTGCAATCCATGATATAAAGAATCAGTAAGAAAAATTAGGTTTCCAGAGATTTGGTAGAATGCAACAATAAGAAGAAAATTGGGAAAAGAAGGGAAATAGAAACAAGTGTCACTTATTAGAAGGAAAAAAATGTTCATATGATTGGGACAGAAAGCTGTAGGTGAGAGTAGGATGAAACATGGGTGAAAAAAGGTGGGGAAGAAGCATAAAAGAGTAAGTAGTAAAAAGGCAGAGGTAATTTCTTTCCAGGTCTTACATTATCATATTAGCATTTAAAACTGAATCCTGCACAAGAAACTATTAAATAATTCAATATGTCTGTTTAATAAATAAAACCTCTCCTCCTATAATAGCATGTTTTTTGATTCTAAGACCCTTGTTATATGACCTTATTTATGATCTGAAATACAGTGATCAAGGCTCAAACTTCATTGTATTTCTTTTAGAAAGTTATGTTAGCATGTCAGACAGGTTTGACCATGTACTTTACTGGCAGATCAAAAATTACACGAATTAACACTATGTAGAATATAACTTACGGCCACTTTTGGCAACTTCCTTTTCATTACTTTGAATCAGAAACAATTACCACTGTTTGACTGTATATTACTCAAGAGAAATGTTGAGACCGTGAGAAAAGTAATTTATATGGCAAAGGTCCATTGTATCAAAAGTTAAACTCAGCTGAACACAAAGAGAATTTCTTGCTTAAATATTTTCTAACATATCTTACAAAGGAGAATTTTGACACTTCAGCCCTCATCTAAAATACATTAGATAAATGCAAAGAAAAATATGTTCTCAGCAAAATATCTGCATTTAATCCGTCCACTGCAGAAAGTCTGATATCAGTTATTCAAAATTCGTGCTTATTGATGCACTGATGTCTAATATATTTGTCTCTCTAAGGAGTTTGAAATTACTTAATGAAAACTCTAGTACATGCTTTCTTCACGTTTCAAGAGTCTCTATTCAAATTTGACTTCGGAAGAACCTTCAACCTGTCATGCATCCCTCTCATATCTTCCTCAGCACATTTTAGTGTATCTTCTCATAAATCTTGTGTGTGTTAAGTATACAGTATGATCCCTACATACTCACAGAGCGAGGGAATGGATTTTAAGAACAAGGAATACATGATTCTCACAGGTCATAGAAAAAAACTGAGGAAACAAATAGATTGAATCTCAGTTAATCTGAACTGTCTAACCATACGATAGAGTGCAGCTGCATCTCACTGTAAGATGAATGTACAGGTGGTCTCAAGAAATATGAATTACTCATAGGTCTTATAACACAGATTTATTTTATATCCCAGGTTAACATTTTAGGTACTAAACCATTCCAAATGTGTGTGATTCAAGATACTTGTTTTGCCTGAATAGGTATATTTCTTTCCAACAGGAATTTATTTTTTTATTGATCATCATATTAAACAGCACCCAGACACACTTGCAATTCATGTCTCTTACTCTAATTAAATCCTGAACCACATATTTCTCTATGTAGACATTTTTAATGTTTGAGGGAAATAAGTTCTTTCATTATGTTTCCTATAAAAGGAGATCAAAAACCCTTGAAAGTCTGAATTGTTGATGATATTATTTGTCATTCCATTATAGTCTTTATTGTCCGACTTTAGAAAAGAATAAATGAAAAATATAAATATTTATGAGAGTCTTAAGATTCTTGCCTTTTGGGAAAATTGTGTATGGGCAAGTTTAAAATATGCAAGCTAAACCCCTAATTGTGTCACCATATCCACATAAAAGAATCACCTCTGCAACACATAAAACCAGGCATATTTATTTTTGTACAGTGATATTTTCAAGATTCAAACTTTGAAGCAAATTGTGTTGAACAAAGTCAGGTTACGAGTTTAATATTGTGCTCTATTGTCTTCAATTGCATTCTATACATACATGTCCAAGGTATAACAGAATCACGGTAAAAGCATAACATTCAGTAAACTGCTCTGCAAATATTGCAAAACTGAGGACAGCTTAATTGAATGTATTTACAACAATATTTATATATTTTCCTGATGTATATATTATCTTAGATTCCAAACAACTGTACACTTACTTTGCTCTGTAGTTTCTTGCCATACTAAATATACCCATGCCCCAACATCCTAAGATACTTCTTAAATACTAATTTTGTTTTCAACTAAAACTTCAAAACTCCTGACTGGACCAATTCGACACAGCTGCACTTTCAAACGATGGCACTGGAAAGTTCATATTTATGACATGCTGTTAGCACATCATTACTGCTTTAACTATGTCCCACTTGCAGTGAAGACTCAGCCCTCAGTTTCCAGTCTCTTATGCAGAGCAAGCAGCCATAATCTGGTACAAGATCTTTTGGTATGCAAGGTAAAGGCAGAAGCTTTTTAGTTAAGGAATGAGTCATCCATTAGCATAAATCTGCTGACACTGTGTGTTGATTATACCACTCTAGAAAAATTATTATTTTTCCACCCCCCACCCCCCCCAGTTAAGAAATTCTGTGTAACAGTTACTTCTGTGCCATTTTGGTTGCAGCTTTTCCTCTGTCTAATTCTAATTTTACAATTAATTAGAATTTATGACAGTATGAGTTAATGAATGGACACTGAAATTAGAAGGACAGAGAACTTATCTGTGCATTTATTTGGTTGCTTTTTTTCATGGTTGCTTTTTAGGAGGGAAGAAGAGAAAGACAGCAGTCAAGCAAGTAAAATCAGTGAAAAGTTTAGTTTCTTTTTCTTTATATATTTTTTAATGACTCTGAGTCAGTTCCCTAAAGTCAACTAAATATGACCAAAGATATGTTAGTTTCCTGACATAAAAAATGCATTTTTAAAAGATTACGTGTTCTGTAATCTCATTCCAGCAGAATGCTGACTTGTATTTTTCTGCAAGGTTCCAGACACATAAACATGTGTTACATAAATATGTCTTATATAAAATATAGCCACAATTTTTCAAAATGGAATAAAAAATAAACATCTGATTTTAAAGAGCAAAGAAAATGGTTTGCGATTTTAAAAGGTGCTAAACATTCACAATTTGTAATGAAATGAACAATTAATCAATTGGTTGTTCAGAACTGCACAAAGAGAGATTATGAGGTTGCATAAAACCACCAAATAAATTTACCTACAATAGTTGTACAATAGATCTGTTATTTCAAAAGTTGCATTTAATTAAAAAAATATATCTCTTTAATTGTTTATAGAGCTGTCAATGAATATGCAGCATGGTATAAACTATTTGTGATAAATCTGTAAGAAAGTCAAGCAGATTTACAGTTTCGGATGGATCATACTATTGACATTTTTCTACAATTCATTGTTAGAATTTCTACTAATTTAGGTGCCTAAATCTGGGTTAGTCTCATAGGCACCTTTATAAATCAAAGAGGAAAACCATGCATTTCAAGAAGGTGATCTATTTGTATGCCTGTATTTGGATGAGATGACCCATCTGGTGGGAGGTGTCTTCTTTTCTCCAGTTTTTCTCTTCCTACCCAAGGGCCTGGAATAACTGATGCCCATTGATTACAGCAATCCTATGCTTTTAAATAATCCTCTTTTATGTTCTGAAGGCTTCTCAATTTTAATTATATAGACATGTTTTGCAGCTTACAGTATTAAATTGCTCCCTTATCCCTGACATCTAGGATATCTAAACATTAGGTAACTGGGGCCTGTAGCTACGATTTTCTAAATACTTTCTCTCCTATGTTAACAAAGAGCTATATTTAACTTCATTTGTATGTCATCTGGGTGCTCAAAATTATTATAACAGGGATTTCAGAACAGGGATATTGGTTTTGTTCAGTGCACAGTTGAGTCTTGCAGTTATATTCTAAATTAAATTTCTGTCATAGTTATTGGAAATAAATGTTTGTGTGGCCAGTTCCTTCTAAGCATTCATCAGAGTTTAGAGATTCATCTTAACCAACTTATTTCTGTCTGAACTAGTAATTTTAGGGACTTTTGCAGTCAATAGAGAGAAACACACTTTTAAAGTGTGATTTATTTCACCTTTAGAATGAGATGAATCATGTCCTGGAAATATTGATTTTTCTATTCTAGTGATAAGGAAAAGCCTTTGATGTATAATTCTAATGTGGACATTTACATAGTAGATACCTATATACTCTGTATTATGAAATGGATATTTATTCATTCATGCTGCTATTGCAAGTCTTCTTTCTCTTTTTCCTTTGAAATGGAACAAACGACCATTTTAAATTAATTGATGTCCTGGAAAATATACAGATGTAGAAACAAGAAAAAACCCAGAACCCCAACCTAAAGGTTGTCTTTTTCCACACTATGTCTACATGTGAGATTTCCCACTATGTGATCGAAATATGCCACCCAAATCTTTACAGAATTGCACTCAAAATCATTCATCTACAAAAAAGTATCTAATATCATCTGGGATACTTTACAGCTTCCTCTTTGAACTTCTGTTATCCCTTCATAACTTCCTCTGTGCCATACTCGCCAACCCAATGTGGATTACTCAGATAATTTTGGGCATCTCAGATGGTATTAGACACTTATGTGGGGGTGATTAAACTGAATGCTCATCCATTTAATTGAAATATCTCACCTTTGGAACAATATTTCTTCCTGGAGACCATCAAAGGTAGCCCTCTTCAGTGACTTTTGTTAGCTACATCAGAAACAGTTTAGTAAAGATACCAGACTTAATACATCTACCTAGCCTTCCAAGTGAAGAAGACTGAACATGAACCTGGTTCACAGACCTAATTCTGAGGAGTACTAGACTTCTGCAAGGGAGGATTTATTATTATTATTGTAAGTTTTATGCATTTTTAAGCATCATGTGATCATGGGAAACCTGGGAAAATATGGGGTTACAGAAGCTTAAGTTGCTTATACCTCAGCTTTGACTACTTTTGTAATCCTCAGAGGGTGATGGATTTGGCAGCTCCATAGATTCCCCAAGGTGAAGCTGTGGACAGCCAGTGATTTGAGGTTGTATTGTTCCTTGCCACTACATTTCTTACCTGTGCTAGTATTTTTCCTTATGGTTTAATTTTCAACAGCTGAAGTCCTACACATGGAAATCAAACTTTTGCTGATTTAATGATTTTGAGCAGTCTCTCTATGTCCATAAGCATACATCCCCAATGTACTATGAAGCAGAAATATAAGGGAATTTGGAATGAAATGCAAGGTTATATCAACCTGAGCAGCTTTACACTGGATTTAGAATAATGCTGAAGAATATTACAGGATTATTCATGTAATCTAATATTGCTACTGATAACAGTTACAAAAGCTTTTTAAAGTCTTTCAGAAATGCCTTCTCTACTTATTCCTCATGAAATACCTAGGGCAAAGTCATAGATAATAGGTCACATTTTGTTTTGCCCAGTTCACTGTGAGTACAGTAATAAGGAAGTCTTCCAAGATGTGAATTCTGTTGTGGAAAAACTGTATTACATTTATAATCACAATGCACGGTATTTCTAGTGTTTGCTCATGGACATCAAGGTCTGAGCGATTAAAACTTGCATAACTTCAAATTCATTTGTGAGTTATTTTTATTGAAGTAATTTAAAAGTGTTTAAGTCATTGGCAAATATATTTAGGGGAATTTATTTGTGCCTTCTAAATATATAAAAGTTATCTGAATAATATATAGAGCTTTCTAGATATATTTTAACATATGTAGATTTAAAATAATGGTCAACTGATGGCAATTTTCTGTAGAAGAGAACGTTACTCAAGGAAAAGATCCTTTGTCTATGCCAAAATCATTCCCTTACATCGGTGAATGTTAGCTTAATGGAGTAAAATTATGAGACAGGCAACTCCCTGAAAGCATCCTAAAATTGCCGTAATAATTTGACCAGTTTCATATGAATAAAAGACTGTTCTCTATGTAAAAGGATTTTTTTAAATTTACTTTTGTTTATAAACAATATTAGTATTTTAATTGCAAGAACATGTATAAAAATACATATTGAACAGTTGTAATTAAAGCCAAAGCAACAACATTCTTACCTACAGATCTTTTTATTGTCTTATTTGTGACTGATTTAAATGCAAAACTTCTCTATAAAACTGGATAACATAATGTCAATAATAAAGTGCTAGCTAGTAAATGACATTTTTCTATGTAGATATTTTCTAATGGGGATTATATTTCTAGCATCCATAATTGTCAATAATGAAAAGTGAATGTAAAAAATAACTAAAAGGAAGGGTCCAAAACCGCAAAGTAGCCAACAGTTCCAGAAGGAACAGAGGATCACAAGGTTAGTATTTATTTTGCAAAATGGATTTTTTAACACTACAATATTTGTAGAAACAGATCAAAAGTGTCACATGAAAAAAATTACCTATTTTTCTTGATTATTTTTTCTATTGATTTCAACTTGAATTATATTCTATATTTATACAGCCTCAAACGTTGTCTAGAGAATTATTTTTGAAGTTTAACTATCTAGCATTTTGAAAGGAATTAAATCAGAAATATTAATTAATTTGAAAAACAGAGACATAACGTGCTATGGTATTTTTCTTGATTTTGTTTAGTTAAATAACTAATTAAAGCCCTGCAAAAATGTAATTTCTTCTATGATTTCTTTAGTAATTTTATTAATAATATTAAAAGCACTGCCACCATTATAAGAATTTCCTCTTCTGGGGAAGGCACTTATTTTGTCTTTTAGGTATTGCTTCTGTAAGCACTCCAAGAAGAAAATTTGGTCATGAATGAAAGAACTTTAAACTAAAGTTTCTGGGGGGCAGGGGGCAAAATCTCAATCTATCTCACTACTACCAGTTCAATGACAGAGGCAGAAAGAGAGACTTGGAGCCTAGAGAGGGATCTTGTAAGGTCTGAGAGGTGGGTCCATATGAACCTCACGAAGTTCAACAAGGCCAAGTGCAAGGTCCTGTAGCTGGGCTGGGACAATCCCAAGCACAAATACAGGCTGGGTAGAGAATGGATTGAGAGCAGCAATGAGGAGAAAAATTTGTGGGTGTTATTGGATGAGAAGCTCAACATGAGCTGGCAACGTGTGCTTGCAGCTCAAAAAGCCAGCTGTATCCTGGGTTGCATCAGAAGAGGGGCCAGCACATCTAAGGAAGTGATTATTCCCCTCTGCTCTCGTGAGACACCACCTAGAGTACTGTGTACAGCTCTGGAGCCAGCAGCATTAGAAGGACCTGGATCCATTCAAGTAAATCTAGAGGAGGGCCATGTAGATAATCAGAGGGCTGGAGCACCTCTGCTATGAAAACTGGCTAGAGAGTTGGAGTGTTCAGCCTGGAGATGTCTCAGAGATACGTTAAAGCAGCCCTCTAAGTGCCTCAACAAAACTGGAAAGGAGTGTTTTGCAAGGGCACGTAATGGCTTTGAAATGAAAGAGAGTAGGTTTAGATTAAATATTAGAAGAAATTCTTTACTGTGAGCTTGGTGAGGCACTGGAACATGTTGCCTAGAGAAGTTGTGGGTGCCCCATATCTGGAAGTGTTCAAGGCCAGGCTGGATGGTGCTTTGAGCAACATGTCCTAGTAAAAGGTTTCCCTGCCTATAACAGAGGGATTGGAACTAGACGATTTTAAGGTCTCTTCTGTGAGAGACTGGAGAAAATGATTACTGGCTCAAAATGACTAAAGCTGGGGGGGGGGGGCAGGACAAGTTCGGCCAAGGTGGGCCAGTGCACTACTCCACACCCCACCACCTGGAGCCTCTAGTCCAGCCCCAGAATGGCTATTAGCCACTGGTACACCAAAAGCCCCACCTGGGGGGAAGGACTTTCTAATAAAGCTGGTTGACGCTCTTGAATAAAAAAGTTGGAAATATAGAGAAAAAGCTAACATTTGAGACCATACTTAGACTATTAAACTATAAAATTTAAAAGCAGCATTTTGAGGAATTCAGGTATTGATTTCACAGAAACTAATATTTGTTGCAGTTCTGATTCCACTCTGATTTTCATATTTTGAAATAAATTTTCAAGTACGATTTCAAAATTATGTGAGAGAAAAGAAACCATGCTAGATCACTAACAATGAGGTTATCTGTTTTTTTGAAAAGACAACAGCTTTTCCTGTAAATGTAATATTGTTTAGCACAATTCAGTGTATCATAAGTGATTTTAAGTCTTATAAATAAAAAACAGGTCTTAATGAATCACAGAAACCAAGACTACAATTATAGACTACTTCAATTTAAATGCATTCCCTGTGAAAATAAAGGTAAAATTATTATTGTTTTCAATAACAGTAAACATAATGGTAAGAAAAAAAATTAATAAAAAATTATCCACAAATTCTCTCTAGAAGAGACTCCAGACCATATTGATGCAGTTGCATAAAAAGAATATGAAAGCCAAATTTGGCTCTTATTGTGGCTAGATTTTACAGAACCTAAATAAAACAAATAAAAATTTTATTCTTTCAGCATTAGAGAAGTGGAATAGTCTGAAAAATTTCACATGAGAATCACGTTCCATTTTGGCAAAATAAAGGCAAATGGAAAAAATGTAAAAGGAAATTGAGAATCAAAAATAAAATAGAAGACAAATTGAGGATAAGAATGAACAAGGCACAGAAAACAAATCTGCCACAGAATACAATCAATAGAAATAATCCAATTTTGAATATCAATATATAGGTAGAACAATCATATTTCTATTGTGTATGGACATAATGTAATCAAAAGAAAGTTCTGGGAATAGAATTAAAATTCAGTTTCTAAGTTCATTAAGTATCTGTGTAGGAGAACCAAATGCCATTGTCTATACTTAATATTACAATTATAATGCTAGAATCTTCTTCATTTGATCTTAGAAGTTTGTGAAGCAAAATCTTTATAGAGGTAACATCTTTTACTCAACAGCTTCTTGTGGTTGGAGAAAAATGGACATGCTTGCCTGTGGAAGACTAATTGCAATTCAAAAGCCAAGTGGCTGTAGAAAACCAATATGAAGATTTTTTGGTTGATTTCAAATTAGTACAGAGAGGTATTTAAAAGATTTAATACAGTATACTTAGGCTTCAGAACTGAAGTTCAGTTTGCAGCAGTAAACAATGATCTCCATGCATGCTGATGCTGTTAGGCAGAAAGACATATCTTCAAATAAAATGTCTCAAGCTGGAAGCTGTATGTAATTTTTCATCTCAAATGACTTCAAAGGTTTCCATTGGAAAACTGGTTTTAGTGCAACCAGAATTACTTCTCAAAATTGCTAGTGACAGAGGATTGTGAGGTTTCTGCTTTTGGACCATGAAATGTTTCCTAAAGGATCAGCAGGGCTTTAAAGAAGTATACTTGGTAGAATTGTTCCCAGAAACTGTACCTCCCTGAATAGCAGAATTTCATATTCCATTAGTGGCCTTAGGTTCTCACTGATTCAGCTGAGCAGACAGAAAGCATCAGCGTTAAATCCACTCACAAAGCAAAAGCTCAAAGTATCATTACTGGCAGAAATTATCAACTCTAAAGGGAAGTACAGATGACACCAGTATACTTACCATATGAACTTTATTAGATCAAATGGTATATTTTTCCTTATTTCACTTGCTTTTATACTGAATTGCCTACTTGGAGTTATTCTCAGTTATTCTCAGTCATAAGTGGAAAGTCATAAATTGCCAGCTCTAGTTAGGCAAAATTTGCGAGCATTAGAAAGAACTAAAATGTAGGACTTTTCTCCCTCTTGAAATATTAGAGGAGGTTCTTTAGACTGTTCTGGTCAGGGTTCATCTGATACATGATGCACTGAAAGAACAATATCAATTTTCCAGCTTGTCATGAGCTTCTAACATGCAGTAGAATGCATTAAACAAAGAGAGTAGAGCCCACATGCTTAAACTGAATATAAGACTAAGAAAGAATTAGGAAACTGTTTTTTTGGCTCCAATATTTGCAACAAAGCCCCAATGCAGCCACAGGATTGCTTTATGTATTATTTGATTAAACTCACAGTCTTCCCATTCAATAGATTAATTTATAAGATGTGTTAAAACTGGCAAGGAGGTACAATCTGAAGATACAAAACAAGTTTACTTTTAGTTTTGTTTTTATTCCTACTATAGACTGACAGTTCAGCCATTATGAATATCCAGACCATTTGACCTCTTCCTTTCAGTAAGAATCAAATTGCCCATTTAAATGAGAAGGCCACAACCCATTTGGGGGTTGTGGACAGAAAAAAATTATATTACTATCAACTTTTCTTTTTCAAAAACCACAGTTTCAAATTTATTAAATGTACTTTAATGTTTCTGCAGTTCTCTTGCAGCCACAAAAACTGTTTTCATGTTCCTTTCTGCTCCTTGTATAGAGCTTTACCTTGGTAATCCAGTTCTCCAGGACACATTCATGAGAACTTGAGCTTACTACTCCACATTCACATATTTACGCCTACACACTCTGGTTTTTTTTTCTTGTCCACTGACTGTGAACAGTTTTTACGATTTTATAGGACATAAATATTTAATCTTTCTCACTTTCAAACTTCAAGTTTCTGATCAACAGAGTATTCACTGTGTAAATCCTTGTTCTTGTGAAATTGTCATTCTCTTTGTCTCATAGAAAAATAATCATTTCACAGTCAGTAAAATCCTAAGCAGTGCTGACAAAGTCATGGTTGTTTGATGACTACAACACAGGCGCCAGCTCTTCCAATATTTAAGGATGCCATCTGCAGAAAAACAGATAGAAATTACCTGAACAGGAACAAGCCATGCAATAATTGCCAAAATGCTGTGTCAACATTATTCTAAAATGCTCAAAACCACTAAAAATAAATACAAACCACACTGCTCTAGTATTGTAGTTTTAAAAATTACTTACTCCTACCTGATATCTTTCATCTGACAAGTGTGAGAACAGAAGAAAGAGGAATTAATTTTAGAGCTGTCATTAATTTTGTGAACTGTTGTATGCAAGGGATTTCTATGTGTATGTCTACATTTAAGCTTCTCAACAGAAGCTTCCCTTTACAACTTCAAAAAGAAATAAGTATTCTTGAGTATAATATATCACACCTATTTTAAATGCTTATTTTAGGATAAGATCATGCTTTCAAAGCATGCACTTTTCTTCATTAACTTTAAAGAGAACTTAGGACGAGTAATTCAGATGTAAACATCTACAATGGTGGAAAAAATTACTTTTCCAGCAAGTCTGCAACAGGACTAATAACAAAAAGTGTTGAAATAATTTTTTGTTTCTTTTTAAGTCTATGCAATGAATTAAAATCTTTCCAGCAAACTGTGACATAAAGTATATTCCTTCTACAACCAAATCACTTGCCCCCAGCTTCTTGCATATATTACTATTTCTATTATACCTATTAATTCTTTTATGGTTCAACATTAAAGACATACATACAGTTCAACATTTCAAAATATCTGTCAAACAGAAGAAAATGGAATAGAAGAATGAAATGATATCAGAAGAATGAAATTCTTCTAATTTCATTTGAAGAATGAAATTCATATTTTCATATGAAGGATCTTCAGGACATGCTGGTTACCAGTTAAAATTCTAGAACCATTTTGATATTCGTTATGATATTACTTCTGCATGAAGAAAGATGAAAAAAATTAATTTAATACGGAAATTGATCAGAACAAGAATTTTGTCTGAAAGGTAGCAACATAATAGTATATAATATATAATATTTATATAGCATAATATAAAAAATATACTTTATGATTACCTGTGTCCACTCATTAGTTTGAGGGTCATATGCTTCCATAGTGTTCAGGTATGTTTGACCATCATAGCCACCTACTGCATATAATTTGTCACCAAGGAGACAGACACCAACAGCATCTCGAGGCATACTTAGTGGAGCCACCATTGTCCATGTATCAGTTTTTGGATCATATCTGAGAAAAGAGAAAGGAAACTGGATGTGCAGGGAGAAGATAAGTGTCAATATATGGTGATTTTTACTTGAATATAGTCCTTTTTTTCCTGGGGAAAAAACCATCCTTTAGCATCCTATTCAAAAATACTCTTCCTAACAGCAAAGAAAAGATACAGATTTATTGTGTTCTCAAATGTTGATTAGAAACTTTTGCTCAGCTAATCTTCTGGAATAAACTAAGGTATCTGTAGGATAATGTGTCATAAAGAGATTTGAGAAAGATATATGATCAATATCTGGATGTATGCATATATTTATGTATACATTTTAAGTAGGATATTTCTTGTATCATATTAAAAACATTATTTCTAAAATTAAATTTCACTATATTTTAATTTCTGAAATTATACTATACAACGTTCACAGCCAGAAAACCTTCCCAGGTATTCAGGGAATATGCTTAACTGCATAGGACTTACATTTTCCTCCCACTATTTGCTCAAGTAAGGAAAGTAATACTGTTTTTAAGGCAGTATTGAACCTAGGTATTAATTTAGATACTCATTAACAATGTAAAATTATTTAATTTCAGAAGTCATTCCATTGTATCTGTTTTGGACATCCATAAAGCAGCAATAAAATATCTTTTGAGAGTTTGTTACTATGGATGTCTGGAGTATTAGGTTAAACTAGATACCTCATTTTTAGATGTCAAATATTACTAAAATAGAATACTGTATCATAGTATGATAGAATTAATTTAATCTGTCATTAACCATCTCTACCACTTAGTAGAATCACTTTATTATCAGTGGAGAAAATACAAATCCTTTGCCCGACTTTATTAAGTTGCTTAAAAGTGTAAGGTAGGTCACACTTTGAGCATGATGATTTCTCTAAAATAATAATGAAGTAACTCCTCTATAATGGCTAACGTTTTCTTTATTTACAGGCCCTCTACCTACTATATTGTTACATAAAATTAGGTATGGAGCCACTTTCTCCTTCAGCTCTATGAGACAATATTAGCTAAAAGTTAGCTTTTTGTGGGGAGAGGCAAGTTCTTTTGATATATTTTCTTATAGTCTAAACTTTATTAACTAGGAGTTAATAATCCTACAGAAAGCTGTAAATACATAAGTTTTAGAAAAAAAAGGAAAATTCTAGCACCTGTTACTATTTCAGTCTGTGGCATTTGCATTAAGCAACTAGTAGGGATACTATTTGAAGTCCCATATATTTGAACAATGAAAAATTTTATGGTTTTTTTCTTTTTAGTGCAAGCAAAGTACTGCAACAGCAATGTTACAGTGCTTTGCTTGTAAGAGTCCTTTGGTTCATAAATACAACCTTTAAATTGGACAATAAAAGAATTGTCTGTAACCTTGATCATATTGTATGTTTTTATTTTCATTTCTTCTAATTTTCTTACTTTTATTATTCAAAATTTTTAATTTTTCTAGCCCTACTTAAGAAGTTTGAAGTTAAATATCTAGATATATTATAAATGTCTTTCATAACTTCAGAGGAAAATACTTTCAAACATTGCTTGAATATGTAACAAGCAAAAGAAAAAGAAAATTTGAATGGATTTTTTTCAAAGACTCTGAGTTTTTCAACAACAGCATCCTATGCCTCTAGCTGAAACTATTTCCCATCCAGTGAAAGTCACCAGTGGAAATGTGGAAAGAAATCAATTTTGAAATCAAGGTGAGATGAAGGGGAAAAATTATAGATTAAATGTTTATGTTTTTAGCATCCATCAAGTTTTGAGTAACATTTGAAAAAGGAAGCTATTTTATGAAATATGCCAAAATATGTCAAAAACTGTATAATTCTTAAAAAGGAATTAGTTGTTTTACCTTTAAAAAGGAATAGAACATTTGCCAGCTTGTGAAGAGGAGAAAAACATAACTCTTATTTTATATCAGAATGCTTGAATCCACGGGAAATCCTTTAAAATTGTGTTATCCATAGAAAAGATTAATCTGGAAGTCCTAATTACTATTGAGCAGAATTTTAGCAATAGCATTTAAAAACCATATATCTGTTGTCACTATATTTGCATAATCTCAAAGATAAAATTTAAAGTATTATGTCTGGTTTGACAGTCTTCCAGGAGCAAATTGTGTTTGAATCATGCACATCCTATCAGGTTGTATCAGAATGACAAAATGACTGAAGAAGAAACTTAGTTAAAAAACATGTCTTAGATATTTACAGAAAGTAAAACTTTCAGAGAGATATAAAAAAAACCTTACTGTAATCACTAATCTTTGTTTTCCTAAGTTATTGAGAAGTTTTTATTTTTTTGAAAATTATGTATAATTTTTGAATAAAAAAACAGACACACAAAATAACACCCCAGCCATCTTATAAACTAATCAACCACTGGAAAGGCCAGGAGAGTTTTTTCCCATTTTAGTGGAGTCCACCAATTCATTCACATCCACTCTACATAAACCAATAGTCTTATGAGTTGTTGGTCCCAACTTTTAGTCTCGAAGCTTACTATTCATGAAGTAAATTATCCACATTTTTTTCTATCAGTGGAAAAAAACCTAGACTAGGAACACAGTATAATGTCATTCCAATACCAGTACATAACACAGCATAAGGATATGTGGTTTAGCTCATTGTTACAGTCTCCCCTGAGAAAGACAAATGTGGTGGGATGGTTCATCATCAATACCAGAAGGGTTTTATTCTCAAAGAAAGAAAAATGAAAGAAGAGCTCCCTTATGAGTACCAAGAAGCAGAAGTAGTTGAAAAGATCTCATACTACTGTCACTAGTACTCTTAATATAAATTTATTTCACTGAAAATGCTCATTATTGTTCCTTATAAATGAAGGTCCACAAAGATAGTCCATAGAGTACAGGCATCATGGGATTTCTCTTATTAACTGTCCATCTGCTGGAGATGGAAAGTAAAGTATTTGGCAGCCTATGATCTTTTCTTACATATACAGTAGAGATGGCAACGTGTCTAAGATTCATCAAAATCATATGGAAAACATAAGGAGTACGTTTTAACTTATAATTTTTTGATTAAATATTGAATGCCAATCCAGATTCAGCAGAAGCAATACGTGACATTTAACTAAAGTTTAACCCCTTCAGAAAATAAATAAATAGATAAATCTCTCCCAGCACCAGTCTTACTTGTGCATTAAGATAAACTATCTACTCAAACATATCTACTTTAACTTTTGTAATCTGTACATATTTGGAGAGTGTGTTTTCCTTATTCTATTTTATAGCATACAGAAACAGAAAAAAACCTTCATGAAACATTTGAAGAATACCTTTAAATGGAATGCTATAATCACTTCAACTGTGCTATAGTGCCCTACTAGATATTCTCGACTTTGTAGAATATCTACTTGCAAAACTCAGGGTACTGTAAATACAGTGTATAAGGCCTATGTCAACACATTAGAAAGTGGCAATGTTGCTAAAGGAAACAATATATTGTACTATGAATATCCATCACTTAAGCAATGGTTTATTTCTTCTTTGCTTAGCTATGTTTTTAGAATTAAAAAATATTTCTAAACAGAATTTAAACAAAAATTCTAAACAAAATTATTTCAAGGAAAAAATTTGATCTCTATGAAGTTTAGTTTATAATTCTGCAATGTGTAATATAGTGCCTTAAAAGAACAGATTACTTAAATGCTATGTGAAAACAGTGGACTTTTGTGTTCATGATAATATATAATAGTACTGTGAATAAAAAGGAAAGACGATAAATTTCAAAGAAATCATCTTTTACAGACCCTTACAGAATTTTTCAAGCAAGTCTGTTTAACTTTACCATCACAAACATAAGAAAATTATGCTACCAGACATTATCTTCTATTAAAAAAAATGCATGTATAATTGAATACCTTTCTACATAGTCAAGCAGTCGAGAACAATGGTTGGAAGCAGGAGCGTCATGACCTCCCACAGCATAAAGAAACCCATCACATGTAGCCACTCCTACACCTCCTCTTCTCTTACACATAGGAGCACACATATTCCATTTATTTGTGTGAGGATCATAATATTCCATTGAACTCAAACACGAGCTTCCATCCCGGCCTCCAACTGAATATAACCTAAGGAAGTCCACACAAATGAGAATGTTAATAAAACAAGTGCTCAGAACTGCAGAAATAAAAACAAGGAGTATGTGTTTTTTTATCTGACATCAGCCAACAGAAAAAAGAAAAAATATAGTTTTAAATAATTTGATTTTTATATAGTGAGCAAATAGATGTTTTTGATATTATTAAAAAACTCAAATGCTACTTAGTTCTTTGCCCACCTGAATAGAAAGGAAGATATTTCTTTCTGTAATGGATATTTTCTTTCTTCCATTACTGCATAAACAGTCAAGTGACATGCAGATATGTCTCTATAGATTTATAAATCACGTAAGCAGGGTTGCTGCCTAAGCTTATCATCTGTGAGATGAAAGTGGAAGCGCTAATTTACAATTGGTAATCCAGACAACATAAAAAAATATGCTATCCATTTATTATAGTTTCTCTATGTTTTCATTGTGCATCAAACTAGTAGGAAACACCCTGTCAACTGCTGTTCTGTATTTTAAAATTTAACTTATATAGTGCTACATTCAACTGAATACATTCAATGTTAGAATAGAATCAGAACAATTAGAAGAACAAGCTTCTACTCTGCCTTTCTTGACAAAAGAAAAAAAAAAAGAGGCACTCGGTATGCTAAAATACAAATGATATGGAAAATTGTAGCCAGTCTTCAAACTGGTATTTGACAAATTCCACAAAAGAATCTATCAAGCTCATGTTCAGAATGAATTTGCACATACAATATAGTAGATATCAAATATGAAATGTGTTGCAGATAGGAGTATGACATTTTGTTTTAGACACAGATTTTTAAAAGAGAGCTAGCTCAGTTTCAAGAATCTTGCTTCTATTAAAGAAAAGTCTTGCTCACACTAACAGTATCTACCTGCAAGTAAGAAAATTATAACCCCCAGGCACTGTATATTTTCTTCATCAGAATATATTGTGAGGATAAGTTGAAGAGTCATGGAAAACTTCTGAGAAGTATTTTAAACTTGAAATTACAAAAATGTGGTTTAACAAAAAATATGCTGTGTTTGTAACTATCTTCAGGCAAGAAACTTGTTACAGTCTACTTTTTATAACGGTTCCCAGGAGGAAACAGTTCTGATTGTTCTTTCCCACTAATACTGTACTGCATTCATTTCTTATATGAATACTGTTGTACGTTTTTGCCTTTCCTACAGTGCCTGGAGACTAACTAATAAAAACACACGCTATTTTAAAGTCCAGCCACTAAGCAATTTAGATTGTGAAAGCTGTCTGTGTGCAGCAATTACTCATTTGGAAGCTTTTACTGTCCTAAGCACTCCATGAATTCAGAGCTATTTAAATGTGCATTTACCATTACATTTCATTGGTATGGATGCTGATAAATAAGGAAGTACCATACTATTATAAATATGTCACTGAAGCACGAGAACATGTCAGTTCTTTCTGATAGACATATTTGTGCTCTGGCTGAAGTACACAGGAGAATCCATACTCCTCTATGAGAGATATTAAAGCAAGTGCATGTTTTTTAGTACATTTTTTTTTTGCAACTATTTCTTTGGATCTAGTCCTAATACATTTAACTTTCTTTATGATTATCGGATATCTACAGATGAAATCAATATTAAGAAACTCACATGTAGGTGTTAACATGTGGGTGTCTACAGTGTCTGAATTGGTGTTGTGCTCAGAGCAGCTGAGCCTAAAGAACAATTTTGTTCACCAACCACAACCATATTTTTGTCCTTCAGCTAAAAATAAGAAACACAGAACAGCACTAAAAAAAATTTAAATATGTAATCAAAAACATTTACATTCCTATAAACGTAAATATAAGCATTTATGTGTATGTGTCTGCAAGGATGTTATCTTTATCTTCAAAGATCTGACTTGGCTCAGCAACCCACAGTGAGAAAATTTTATTTGTGACATATAAGGTATGGTGACATTCCCTGTGAGCTGAGAGATATGGCAAACAGTACAAAGGAGAAACCTGCATGACTGCTGGAGATCAAGTAGGCTACCCTGAAGCAATTTAAATGGCAGTACACAATTACATGTAGACAGGTGAATTGATACCTAAAAATATAAACAAACCATGGTTAACAAACCCGAGATTTTCAAATAGATTTCTAAGTAAATATTTGGAGACCTAAACAACTGCACATAATTTTAAAAAATGTAAAGCAGCAACACTTCTGCAGGCTTCAGTGCAAATAATCTTGTGTTTCCCTAGTCTAAATACCCGCCACTTTACTTATTTCTTCTGGCAAGAAAAGTTCTCATTTATTCCATTGTCTTTCAGTTGAAATAAATCTATAAGCTGATATTTCCATGCTGATTGTGAAGTACACTTTCTCATTCCTCTATTGCTAATAAAATATGGCTGAAAGCATTCCAGAGTTGCTGGTAAAAAGACAGCAAATTTTGTTCTTAAGTAGCTGATAAAAGTTTCAGTCAGTGACTGGGACCACCTAGCTTTTCTTAAAATGCTCTATGCTATTCAGAACAAAATTAATTTCCAAACCAGGTTTTAGAATTGTCATTTTAGAGTTTGACTGTGTTTCTATCTCAGCAAGGAATAGTTTATAAAAATAAAAATAATTTTTTATGTCACAAAGGAGTCTAGTTCAGAAAAAAAAGCTGAAAATCAAGAAATTGATTTAAAGCTCTGGTTGTGGCTGAGCCAGAACACTTCAGTCAGGAATCCCTTCCATTCTTCTGCCAAATTTCCAAGTCCATATTCACAAAGGCCTAAAATGATGCAGAGTAACTCTGAAACAAGTGCAGGATATTCAGGATACTGTACAGCTAACTGAAACTTTTGAAATACTTATAACCAAAGATATTTAGTAGCCTTACTTCCATTCATAGTCTTCAGGGTCCTATTTTGTTAGATGACTTCAAATTAACCAATTTTTTTTAGCTTTGTCTTGCTCGCCAGCAGTTTATAGTAAAATTTCTATAGAGGAAAGTATAATGTAATTCTCTGAATTAGCTGAATTGCTTTTCATTTTGTATCCCATCAAAACTGTTGAAATTATAATAATAATAATAATAATGATATATCACTGTTTAGAGAGGAAGATGAACATAGAAAAGAAAGCATTCAGTACTGAGCAATTTTATTTCCATAGTAAAAGTTCTGCCTGTGAAGATGTTATGGATTTCTATTCCCAAGTGTCCTACACTTCAGCTGATTCAGACACTGTGCGTAGATATAAAATTGGACCAAGCTCAGCCTCCTCTGAGCTGGAAATTTGTCTTTTCAGGGTTTTGTTGCTTCTTGTACTAAGATGGAAAGAGATTCATGAACATTTGTATATATATAACTATATGCATAATTGGTTAGTAAAATGCAGTAGAGGTTTCAAAGTAGGAAACACTAGGAGAAATCATGACCAGCTGGATCAAAAGCATTTATCTTAGTTCAGCCATTACAAACCTTTGATAACTACTCAGAAGAGCCAATTTTAAATTTAGTTTGACAAGCCAACCTGAAAAGACCAGACTGTCTTTGATGTGAGGTGGTATGGCTGAAAACAGTTGAATCATGCCCTTGCTGCATTTCTTAATGAGATTTTGCTTTTCAAAATTCTTTCACTGTGGATACCAAAGACCCTATCCAGTCTTTTGCTTAGGCCCTTTTGTACCCTTTTCTGGCCTTTCAGTGTCTCTGAAAGAGCAGCAGAGAATTACTGTGCCACAAAAGATATCTGCTTGTAGAAGTGAAGGCACTGTAATATTTTTCAGAAATGCTGGGCTACTGTATTGCTGAATCAGTCCATACCTGACCTAGGAATCAGACCGTAGGAGAGGAAAGGTATCTATCCATGTTGCTTTGGTTAAGACAATGTAGTTCACTTGCAAAAGTTGAAAATACAAAAATTTTCTGAATGGAAAGCATTAATGAAGTCTTATTTTTGTGTGTAAATTTGGAAGGGCATTTCATGTACTTGTAATGCAGTAGTGAAGTAAAAATATATAGAGTTGGACAAAAAAAAAAAAAGGGAATAAAATAAGTGCAATAAAATTAACTACTGACATGTTGGATGGGAGTCCCGAGTAACCCGATCTAGCAGCTGCCCATGGCAGGGCAGTTGGAACTAAATGATCTTTGAGGTCCTTTGAACCCAAGCCATTCTGTGATGCTACGAGATAAAATATTGAGAGAAAAACACTCTTTCCATTGATAGTATTGTTATGATAAAGCTTGATTTCCTACACTAGAAATTGTTGTTTCCTAGTAGAAAGAACCTCTTCCAAGCAATTTTAATTGTAATTGAACTTATACGGGCTACATTATCTCTTCAAGACCATTGACAGAATGCAGATTCCACCAGTTAAAAAACATTCTTGACTTTATCAGGCTATAGGATAGGTAAGGCAAAACAGTCTTTGCAAATTAATCATTTACTACAGGATATGCATAAGGCCCTTTATTTGCTCTCTTGTTTATTAAAAAACCAGACAGTGAATCTGTCAGTAAATAAGAATTTTTTATTGAATCCACAGAATTACTTTGTGCTAGACTGAGCTGTGTTTATGATATTAATTTTCTTTGTGAGTTTAATAATAGCCCATAGAGTTCTTGCATTTTGTTCTGTCTCAGTATCCATCTGTTGCATGATTTTGACTAAAATATTAAAAAAAAAATCTACATCTTTTTGTAGTTTCTACAGTTAAGGAAGAATAACTTCAACATTTGTCTAATTTTCCCTATAGTGGTATGCAGAATAATTGCCTTTCTGAAAAAAGGGTTTAATCAAAAGCAGCAGTTAATAAACAGCATATTCATAAAATATCATCAGCATCAAAATGGTCATAAAAGAACCTGAAATAACTTCTCAGGATTTAAATTAAGTTATAAATTTATTTATAGGTCAAAGTACATTTACAGTAAAACATAGTAAGAACAGAGAAAAGATTTTAAAACTTTCAACAGAAAAATTCTAAGGCTGATAACTTGTGAGTTAGACTTTGAAATACATTTGTTATTCTTCCTATGGCAA